ATCACTGTACAACCACAAGCTCACGAAAAAACTGAGGGAGACACCGTTACTTTATCTTGTAAGGCTGATGGTAATCCAGTACCGACAATATCATGGACTGTAAATGGCTCCCCAATAGATGTAAGAGGCAATTCCAGGATCAGTTTTTTAGAAAACAAACAGCAGTTGACAATAAGGAATGTGGAAAGGACAGACAGCGGAGTCTACAGATGTGTGGCGAGCAACAAATTTGGAAATGCTACATCCGATGCTGCTTCACTGGATATTCAATGTAATGACATATCTGATGTTGATTCAGTTACCAAATGTGGCGAAAGCTCTAACTCTCCTTACAGTACAAAGTATTTTATGGTGCATTTTACTCACCGTATTGGTTTAGTTGGCTGTGAGCATGTAGTTCAATTAATATCGCTGGCATCGAATTGCTATGTCATATCATTACGGACAATTGGATTACTACGCTAAGAAGTGGCGTCACTTCAACATATAAGATAGCGTGATGATAGCATTACTACTAACTATAGAGGCCGTGAGAAAGTAAAAGCTAATTTTCCCATCTAATTTTTGGACTCCAGTGGACAGCACAAACCAATAATGATTAATCATTACATGTATATTCTTACGTTTTTATCCACTAGTTGAAATCTAAGCTTCTTCTAAGCTTTTACGTTCGGATTACAAAAAGAAATGTTCGAGAGTCGTTTTAAATCGAATGATGGCTTCAAGCATTAGAGCTAGTTAGCGACCAGTCCTGAACTCAATAACGGTGGACCAAATAAGACATTGCTAACCTGGCACCTTTCTTTTAAACAGAAAAAAACAACAACAACAACAACAGGAAACATTAACAGCAACTATCTTCCATCAATATGTTTTTTTTTTTTTAACCTTTTCTTTTTATTTTTATCTTATTTTATTTTATTTCTTTTTGTTTTTGTTTTTGTTTTTTTTGTTCTGTTAGTTGCACCTGAGATCTCCAAACATCCAAAGGATACTCAGGCAGTGGAAGGACAAGATGTTGTTTTGCATTGTTTGGTAGAGGGAAACCCAAAGCCGAGTGTTAGATGGACAAAAAATGAAGAAGAATTGAATTTAGCAGCAAATCCACGACTAAGCTCAGCTATAATAAACGACACACATAATTTTACAATAACTGATGTTCATCTACCAGACGCTGGTCAATATAGATGTCTAGCTGATAACAGTGTCGGTCAAACTACTTCATCCGCCGCGACGCTTACAGTGGCAGACTATTGTAAGTATTCAACCCAATTCACCAATCAATCAAAAACCGCGGCAATGGATTTTCGTCTTTTTCGACTTCAGTAGGAAAGAAAATTTGTTAATTTCCTAATACAAGCAAGTTGCACTTTGGTGCAGAAGTCCGGGTTTTGCTTGGCTGAAATTACCAGCTTATGCTTTCGGAGCTAAGGGTACAGCACGTTACAGAACTTTACGACTCGAGATGTACCTTAACGAATTCTAATTCACAAGCCGGATTTTTGGTGCATAGAACCGAGTCTTAAGCAAAAACACGGCGACCCAGATTTTTAATACAAAAATCAGGACCGTGCCTTAATTTATCTAAGCTCACAACCCATATTAGCAGTTTAACATATGAGCTGTGTCCTACAGAAACTCGTAACTTGGGTGTTTCAGTGTAAGCTGAAAACTGAGTTGCTCCTCATTTGAATTCGCGACATGCATTTCCACTGTTCAAGAGGTACTTTGTCGAAATGCACAAGACGGATTTTTCAACGTGGAAGACCAAAGTTTCAGCTATAAGAACTTGCCAACCAGAATTTTTACTAAAAATTCAGATTTGCAAGTATTTCACTGAAATTCACAACTCGTATTTTTTTCTCGTTTGTGTAAAAAATCGGAGTTGCGTTATTCGAAGCAAAGCACAATACAATTTTGTTGCAAAATTATAGTTGCGTTGCTTTGTATTTGTTCCAAAGATGCACTACTTGGATTTTGGGATGAACTTCAAATCCTTGAGCCGCTTTATCGAAATTTACAAGTCGGATTTTCAGGGTAGAAATCCGAGTTGTGAGTTTATTGCAGCAATGTGAAACCCATGTCTTTTTTTACTTGAAACATTAGATTTGTGCTTTATTGAAATTCTCTAATATAATTGTAATTTAAAATTGCTAGTTTAAGGTTTTGTGAGTTGTTTCTCCAACCAGGCCCACGATTCGGCTGGAATGCTTCTTTTTTGATAAGATGGTAAGGAAAGGTATCTGGTAGTTTTTAATTGTTATTATTATACAAGACATACATTTGCATGGTAGATCTGTATTTATGATATACAATAATTTATCAAATTATAAATATATAAAAATAAATAACTAAATTTATAAATTTTATATTAATAATTTATAAGTAACTTGAAATTTGCAACGTATTGGACTAATTTATTTAATTCCATAATCTCTGTATCTTAGGCTGCTGATACATATTTTATTTATCATCATCATCATCATCATTATTATTGTTTTGTTTTTTCCTTTTTTTGAGAGAAGCCAGATTATACCAGAAAAAGAGACATGGATGACCGCTTATAATCATCTGGATTATCTTTAAGGATTCGTCAAGGGTAAGGATGTCGTTTAGTCAACGTTTTACAGCTCTGCCAATGCTCGTGTAACCAAAATCCTCCTAAGGTACTCATAACGCGCGGAGAATTTTTGACGAATTAACTTTGAGGTGTTCGAAAATATGGCAAAACAGTGTCTTGAGTGTTAAAGATATCTTGTCAATCGAAACTTAAACTCGGAGAGAACTCTGAGAATCTGTAATCAAAGTACGGACGTAGCCGTCTGTTCACATTTCCCTTGTACAGTCTGTTCACATTTCCCTTATACAGAAGGATCTGTATTCAGACTTGAAGTTTTGTAATTTTCAGCCTAGCGATTTTAAAACACGTTTGCATGAGAAAATCACCCTTCTCCAGTCCTCTTAAGCTGTAAAATACCTTCACTCTCAGTGCTTGCTTTAACAGAGAATCATCATTCCATAACTACGCTGGGCAGCTACTTCTAACGGCCATTCTGCGCTGTAGCCATAATTTGTAATCGATCCTTGGGCATCAACAACAGCGAAAACTCGCTGATAAACGGTTTTCCTTTTTTCCTTAGCATTAAAAAAACGCGTAAGCAACAACAAGAACAACAATCTTTATTCACACTATTCAGGTACAAAAGAAAGGTATGACAAGAAAAAAAGAAACTATAGAAAACGTGACGATAGAGATTATATAATTATATGTTCGATTTGAGTCAGTGTGCAACAGTCAAAGTAGCAAAGCTTTCGAGTTGGCTGCTGCTTATTTACAAATAAAGAAAGGAAGGAACCAAGGAAACAAATAATAATTAAGACTAAACTAATTCACAAAGCAAGAAATGAAAACGGGAAGAAAATATCACATTAAAGATTACTTTCAGGAAAGTAACAAAACGATATTAGATAACAAAGTGACCACGCTACCTCAATATTTGTGTGATTACAGGCAGAAGCTGAACGGACGCGCAAAGGAAGTACCTGCCTCCCTCCTGAAAGTGGTTGTAAATGGGCTCAGTCTATAACATATTCATTTCGAGTTTAGGCTGCACGGATGAAGGGTGTAGGTCCAGCAAGCAATCTTGAAATTGCAACAACTGAAGGTTAGGATATAGCTCCTTGTCAGTTGTACTTAATAATGTACACTATTATTTTGAAATTTAGTGAAACATCTAAATAACAGTAAGCTGAAGGTGTACTGTTCAAACGAAGTGAGATTAGGCCCTAGTATGGCATCAATGCCTAGTTAACTAATTAACGTCAGGTTTTCATGCGTCTGTCCTGTTATTGATCATGAATTTCGTCATAACATTGTCAACGTAGCTGTGGATCCGCAGAAATTGTCAATAACAGGACAGACGCATGAAAAACTGACGTCAATTTGTTTTGTACAGTAACAAATTGTCAAATTGTCCGCTCTCGCTCGTTAATACATCGCATAAATTATAAATTCATATGTCTGCCCGCTTATTGACGATGAAAATAAGCTACTGAGTACGCGAGAATTTCTACAGTTACATACTGGTGATCATTATTTTGTAAACCAAATGGTGGCGATCAGCGAGCTCGCTTATTAGTTACGAGCCCCTAAAATTAACATTAATGGAGCAAGTTGTACTGCTTCTAGTCACCTGCTAGGACAAAAAAATGACCAAAACGTTTTCAACATTGATTGGGTGTTTGTTTGATACCGTTATTGTAGGAAGCATTGGCAACATAATCCCTTGAAGTATGACAATTATAAAATGCTGGGTACTATTGTAGGCTACCTCATGTGAAAACACCTTAATACACTCTTTTACAGCTTTTATCGAATGATCGTCACACCCTTAACAGATGGGCAGAACCCAGGAAAATCATCAGACGAGTAATACGTTAAAGTAATGCGAAATTACGATAACCAAGTGAAAGGAGAACCTTATATTACGGCTGAGTTCGCCAACGATCAGTCA